CTGTTGACCTGGGTCTGGATTGACCCGGGCCAGAAGATCCCCGAGGCTGACTCCGTCGCAGAAGACGCGCGCCCATCTGGGGCCATCCGGCGCCCCCGCGGGCGCAGTTGCGGACTTCGCGCGAAAGGTGGCGCAATGGGCGCGCGACGCATGCGCGCCCCGCCCCTCGAGAGTCAGGCGACCCAAACTCGGCGGCGGGATCTGGCGCGGCGCCGCCAGCAAGGCGCAGGGCGGGCCGCCGGTCACCCGAAAAAATTGCTCTCGACGAGGGCCTCCGGCCACCCGGGAAACGGGGTGCTGGGCGCGAGAGCGCGGGGCGGCTGGCCGAGCGAGAGGCAAGCGAGAAAGGCGGCAAGAAGGGCGCCGACAAAAACACCGCAGCTGCGGGCAGGTGCGCCGAGACGAGCGCCCACGGGGGAACCGCAGTTGCGGGGGGAGGTGCTGAGGTTGAGCGAACTTTGAATTCGCGGCCGCTCAGGCTGCCAACGGCGACGGCGGGGCCACTTATACCGCGGCGGCGGCCGGGCCCCGCGGCGCCGGCGGCGCGCGGGGGGCGCGCTGTGCCGCGACGGGATTGCGCGATGATTCCGAGCGGAGATGGCGCGATGGTTTCGAGCGGGGAGGGCGCGCTGATAGTTGGCAGCGGTGGCGCAATGGTCGCGTCGCCATGGCGGGCAGTGCTACGGGGGGCCCGCTTCCCGAGCCCGCGCGCGCGGGTGGGCAGTGGAAGCCGATGGGAATGGAGGTGGTGTGCCCCCCGCGCGTCATGGAGTTTGGGTGCGCGGCAGTGGTGGTGGCCGCAGTTGTGGGCAGTTGCAGCGTGGCGGTGATGGCCGCAGTGGCGAATAGTGCTGCGCGAGTGCTGCTGCTTCCGACGTTGCATGTGCAAAACCCTGTGAGCAGTGCCAGCTGGGAAGCGTTCGAAACAGGGCCAGGGGGCTGCTTTGAAGCGTTCAAAGCATTGACGGCGCTTCTCTTTGACACGTGTCATCGCTTCCCTTTTAGAAACGTTTTTTTTGATTGTCCGAAGATGTTTTCTTGTCGCGTGCCCACTCGGGGATGGCGCGCCCCGTGCAAATGACGGGAACCGCGTGTAAGTTGCAGGGGTTCGTGGCCTTGGGGACGCGAGCGCAACGCAATGTACGAGGGATCGTGGCGCGACGCCGACGCTGCGTAATTTTTTGAGAGTTCTGGATTTGGTAGCGCCGATGCAGCGTCATTATCCACGTTTCGTGTACTCCTACCAGTCCATCCACAAACAGTTGCCAGGGGAGTTGCTCGAATCAGGGCGGTGTAGAGTCATGCGGTGGCATGGTGGCTTTGGAAGCTTGCGGGGGTGACAGAAACGGTGGGAATATTAAATGGATGATTGAACGCACGCTCCCATGCCGCATGCAGTGATACAGCCGCTTTGGAAGCGTTTCGGGGTCGCCGAAACGGCGAGGACATGTGCCGAACCACCTAGAAAAGTTTCCCCCAACACGGCGGCTTCAGTATTCGGGGGGCCCTTCTGGAATCATCTCGGGGTTTCTTGGAGTCCCTGTGGGGCCTCTTTCGGCGCTGTTGGGGCCCTCTTGGGGCTGCTTGGGGGGTCTAAGGGCTCTCTTGGGGTCTTTTTGGTGGGGTCTGGGAGGGCCTGTTGGGGCCGTCGTGGCCCCCGTGGCTCACGAAGGAAGGGGGTATGACATATTTGCGACCCCCTTCCCCCACTTTTCCTTCCCCCCCCTCTTCCGGGAGGCTTAAAATTGTGTTTTAAGTTTCTCTTGGAGGCGCTCAGGGGGCCCTCCGGGGGCCCTCTGGGAGCCTGCTGCGGCCGTCTTGGGGCCATCCTGAGGCCTCCGAAGCCCATCGGGGACGAAAAGGCGAGAACGCGACCATCATTGATTTCGCTCGGGTTTTGGAGCTATTTGGGCATCCTGGGGAGGTCCATGGAGGGTTCGAAGGACATTGCGAATCGTCTTGGGGCCGTCTTGAGGCCTCGTGGATGTGTGTCGGAGGCTATATTGATGCATTTTACAAGGAATCGCGGCGCTTCCCTGGGCGCGCCGACGCTGCGCAATCTACCAAGGATCCTGGATTTGGGAGCGGTGGCGCAGCGTACTTTACCAGGGGCGTGGCCCTGAGCGTGGGAGATCCCTTGAGGCCCGGGGGCCTCAGCCGCGTGCTATGCTAGTGCCCCCCTCCCTGCCCATGGGTTCCCGTCTTCGACCAACAGATCGTTTTCTCATCCATTGCTTTGCCGATCGCGGGCCCTCGCCCCCCTCCCTTCCCCCCATGGAGTAGATCTTGGTTGTTTTTCCCAACCATCCTGTGATGTCGGGTCCTCGTTTTGAAGAGACGTCGCCCTGCGTTCTCCTCCTCCTCTCCTCTCCTCCCCCCCTTCTCCCTCCTCCATCACCATCACCATCACCATCACCATCACCATCACCATCACCATCACCACCATCATCATCATCATCATCATCATCATCATCATCATCATCATCATCATCATCATAATCACCCGTTTCAGCATACCCCTCACACGTTTCGTGGCCCCATGGGGAGCCCCACCGAAGGTCCCAGTGCTACCGTCCGCATGCGCCCCCCCACCCTGTACAGCGCTTCGTGGCCCCATAGGGAGCCTCACCGAAGGTCCCAGTGCTACCGTCCGCATGCGTGCCCCCCACCCAGTACAGCGTTTCGTGGCCCAAAAGGGAGCCCCACCGAAGGTCACAGTGCTACCGTCCGCATGCGTCCCCCACCACCCAGTACAGCGTTTCGTGGCCCCATAGGGAGCCCCACCGAAGGTCCCAGTGCTACCGTCCGCATGCGTCCCCCACCGCCCAGTACACCGTTTCGTGGCCCCATAGGGAGCCCCACCGAAGGTCCCAGTGCTACCGTCCGCATGCGTCCCCCCCACCCAGTACAGCGTGTCGTGGCCCCGCAGGGAGCCCCGCCGAAGGTCCCAGTGCTACCGTCCGCATGCGTCCCCCCCACGAGTACAGCGTTTCGTGGCCCCATAGGGAGCCCCACCGAAGGTCCCAGTGCTACCGTCCGCATGCGTGCCCCCCACCCAGTACAGCGCTTCGTGGCCCCATAGGGAGCCCCACCGAAGGTCACAGTGCTACCGTCCGCATGCGTCCCCCACACCCTGTACAGCGCTTCGTGGCCCCATAGGGAGCCCCACCGAAGGTCCCAGTGCTACCGTCCGCATGCGTCCCCCACGCCCAGTACAGCGTTTCGTGGCCCCGCAGGGAGCCCCGCTGAAGGTCCCAGTGCTACCGTCCGCATGCGTCCCCCCCACCCAGTACAGCGTTTCGTGGCCCCGCAGGGAGCCCCGCCGAAGGTCCCAGTGCTACCGTCTGCATGCGTCCCGCCCCCCCCCCTGTACAGCGTTTCGTGGCCCCATAGAGAGCCCCACCGAAGCCCCTGAGACTGTCCGCATGCGTCCCGGAAATCTGATTTGGCATTTTCACCCCACCCCCATAGAGAGCCCCACCGAAGCCCCCAGTGGGACTGTCCGCATGCGTCCCTGAAGCACAATCTTGGTATTTTCACACCACCCACTGCTGCGTTTCGTGACCCCGTGGAGAGCTCCACCGAAGCACCCAGTGGGACCGTCCGCATGCGTCTCGGAAACCCAATTTGACATTTTCACCCACCCAGTTCAGCGCTTCGTGGCCCCATAGGGAGCTCAACCGAAGCCCCCAGTGGGACCGTCCGCATGCGTCCCGGAAACCAAATGTGGCACACCCCTCATACGTTTCGTGGCCCCATAGAGAGCTCCACCGAAGCCACCACTGGGACCGCCCGCATGCGTCCCACACGCCCGGTTTTGCATTTTCTCCCCACCCGGTACGGCGTTTCCTGGCCCCATAGGGAGTTCGCCCGACGGCCCCAGTTCTACCGCCCGCATGCGTTCCCCCCCACCCAGTGCAGCGCTCCGTGGCCCCACAGGGAGCTCCACCGAAGAAAATATTCACAATTGCCGTACCCACAACTGCATATGGTTGGGTCCGTCGCCAGGATCATTGGCGCCGGTTTCCAGCAGGTGGAGTCTCCCCCGCGGGACGCACTGCTGGAAGCCGTCGCGTGAAGCAGAGGCTCGAAGCCAGACATCCCCCCCCTCGCCCCCCCCCCCCTCTCCGCCCACTGTGGAAACGCCGGGTCCGAGAGAACGCTCACCAGCCCAGGTCTCCCCCCATGGGGCCTCCCCCAGAGGCTTCCGCCCCAGGTTGCCACCCCCCACTGGCGTTTCAGTACTGGCCGCGGTGCTCCTTTCCCCTCCTGCCCAGGGGCCCCCGTCTCGGCCCTGCGCCCGCCCGCAGGTGGTGTGTTGTGCTCTCTGTTGGTCTGAGGTCGGCCCCCCCCACGTGACAGCTGCATACAGACATGGAGTTCCAAGACAGGCAGTCCTTGCTCATTCCGTTCGGCCAAGCACGCGCCAGAAGCCGAGCCCCTCGCAAAACAGCGAGCGATGACGAGGCCTCAGCTGCAGTCGTGGAGCGGGTTCCCGGGTCCGCGAGTGCCAGTCGTGCACGGGATGTTTCGGGATGTCGATTGTAGAAGGGTTGGGGACGTTCACGCTGATTCGATATTCGCCTTGCATGGAGGTGTGCAATCCGCCTGGAATGGCTGCTGCCCTGGCTATCCCAGACGGCCCCGAATGGCTTCAGGTCGGCTCCAGGGGCCAGGGGTCTTCAAGACGCCTCACGGCGCCCCCAGAGGGCCCCCCAGAGGGGCCCCGAGAAGCAAGACCCACCGCATCCTTTCCGGTTGCTTTTCCAAGGCGGTTCAAGAGGCTCCGAGTTTTGCTCCGAGATAGCTCCAGACGCACCCCCGACGCCCCCAAGGCGACCCCCTCGGGCCCTGAGGGCTCCGGGAGGCCCCCAGGATGGTCCAGAAGGGCTCCGACACAGCCCCCGAGCGTGCGAGGACGACCCAGGAGGGTTTCAAGACCCCGTCCCAGGGGCCTCCACACGCTTCGGGGCGCTCTCACGGGCCAGCCCAGCGGACAGCCCCACGCCGATCCCGACGGCGCCCCCGCAGGTTTCCGCATTTGGCGATCCGCATTTGACGAACGTCTACGGTGAGCGATTTGACCTGATGCGGCAGGTCGGCGACTACAAAGGGTACGGTTACGCCGGGGTATGGTTTGCGATCGGCACCGTCAGGGCCTGGGGAGTACGACATTGTCTTCGTCGGGCCTCCTCGGGGCGCGGCGGAGAGCCCCGTCGAGGTCCTCGCCCGCCCCCCAAAGGTGCCCCCCAGGGTGCAGGTTGCAAACCACGCCCTTTGCAAACCACACCCTTCGGAGTCGCCGAGCAGGGCAAAGTCTTGCTCATCAATATCCCACGTGGAGACCGCAGAAGAAAACGCATAAGCCTTTGCAGGTCCGCCCGGGTTTCTTGGATCGGCGCTGGAACCCCCTCCCTGGTGCGCAGAGCGCGCCGGGGGTGGCGCTGTAGGCGCGGCCAGGGGGGCCCAGCGCCGATCCAAAGAAGAGAAGCCGCGCGGAGCTTCGAAAGTTTGCGGTTGTGTTGCTTTTGCTCCTCCAGGAAAACCAGTGGAGGACGCGCTGCTCGTCGCGGAGGCCGACGTGCGCCGAATGGGTGCGCAGTGCGCGGACATGTATTTCCAAAGGTTGAACATCACAGGGGCGTGGGCGGACGAGGCGCACGCTGGCGGTCTCACCTTCGATGCCAAGACGGCGCACGAGGCGGGCGCGGGGTGGACGAAGTTCGGTCCGCTGGAGCTCAAGGTCGTCCGCGGGCGCACGGACCAGGGCGTCCCGTACTTGAACTTCTACGCCAAGCACCTTGGGAAGGCTGGGTTTGCCGTCGGAGGCCTGCTGGGAGAGGACGATCACACGGAGGCTGCGACGCCCGCGGCAGAGTGCGGCAAACAATTGTCCCTTGCGCGTCGTGCCGCACCGACGCGTGCAGCGCCGAGTTCGGCTCCGAACTCTGTCGCAATGGCGAGCTTCGACTGAGGCTCGATGGCCCAGTCCCACCTGCTCCGGTCGCGTTCCGGGCCTGGTTCTCCCTTTCCTCTGAAGCCTCGACATGCCCAATACGACACTCTGCCAGCTCGTTCTATTCCTTTTTCTTTTGCTCGTGTGCCTCTTCAGGAGGCGCATCATCAGATGCACATAACTGGGGACTTGGCCCTGGGAACCCCCAGGCCGGCACCACGACCGCGAACAGGGCTGTCCCAGGCCACAGGATGCTACTTCGGGTCCTGCATCTTTCCCGGGCGGCCCAGAAACGCTCTAAGAGAATCGCAAGACGTCTCCAGACTCCCCCGGGAAGCTTCCCGAGTCGGCTGTGGACCCATACTGCCGCCAGAGGATCCCCCAGGTCGCCCTGAGAAGCCCTCAGATAGCCCTCTGAGTGTTCACGGATGCGACGTGCATGGTTTTATTCCCTGGGGCCCTTGTTTTCTCCGCCCCCGCCCCAGCACCTCACGCCTCACCCCCTTCTGTCCTCCTCTCTTCTTTTCACACTCGCCGTCACCATTAATCATCCTTATCAGCATCATCCCCATCGTCATACTCATGAACACCCGTCTGTCGTTTCCATCACCGTTGTAATCATCATCGCCATCGCCAGCAGACTTGTCACTGTCAACATCGTCATCCTTACAACGCCATGACCTTCGGCCATCATAATCATCATCAGCATCATCACCATCAGCATCATCATCAGCATCAGCATCAGCATCAGCATCAGCATGAGCGTCATCATAATCATACTCATTCTCATCATCCTCATCATCACCATCACCATCACCATCACCACCATCACCATCATTATCACTACACCGTACTCGTCACTCTAATTCATAACACATCATCATCGTCATCATCATCACCATCACCATCATCATCTTCATCTCCATCACCACCATCACCATCGTCATCACTACACCGTACTCATCATTCGAATTCAGAGCACTCATCATCATTATCATCATCATCATCATCATCATCATCATCATCATCATCACCATCACCATCACCATCATCATCATCATCATCATTATCATCATCATCATCATCATCATCATCATCATCATCATCATCATCGTCAGCATTACCACCAGCACTCATTCATTCATTCATTCATTCATTCATTCGTTCTTTCATTCACGCACACACACACTTATCTTGATGATCACTCGAGCGCATGCCTTGTCTGTAAGTGGGTAGCGAGGAATTCTCTTTCGGGAGCCCCCTCCCTATGGGGCCGCAGTTCATGTTGGTAAACCGAGTGGGTCATCGGACTATCCCACCAGGCAGAGCATTCGAGCACCCCAAGGGGGCAAACCGTGAGGATGCCTCAATCGCCCCACCCTCCCAATGGGGCCCGCACTTCATGACGGTAATCCGAGAGGGTCGTTGGACTATCCGACCAGGCATAGCACTTGATCACCCCCAAGGAGGCACACCGAGAGGATGTCTCACGCAGGAGCGTCGTCCGTGCATGAATTGCGAGGAAGTCTCAGGCGGGACCCCCTTTCTTATGGGGCCCGCACTTCATGCTGGCAATCCGAACGGGCCATCGGAACATCCCACCAGGCAGAGCACCCGGACCACCCCAGGGAGATGCACCGTGAGGAGGTCTCCGGCGGGCCTCGCCTGCGAGTGAATCGCGAGGAAGCCTGAGGCAGGAGCCCCCTCCCCGTGGGCCCAGCACTTCGCGCTGGTGCCCCGAGCGGGCCCTCGCAGTGGCTCCACCAGAGAGCAGCGGAGAGCAGACACGAGCGGCGGAGGCCAGCAGAGCGCAGCAGAGGCCGGCAGGCACCAGCAGGCAGCGCCCAGGGGCAGCACGGAGCAGCAGCGACCGGCAGGGGGGCAGCAGAGAGCAGCGGCGAGCAGCAGGGAGCAGCATCCGGCAGCGGACAGCAGCAGAGCGCAGCAGAGACCGCCAGAGGGCAGCAGAGAGCGGCGGCGAGTCGCAGAGACCAGCGGAGACCAGCAGAGAGCAGCAGACAGCAGCAGACGACAGGAGAGAGTAGCAGATGTCAGAAAACATCAGATCAGAGGGCAGCAGAGAGCGGACGAGAGCAGCTGAGACGAGCAGGCATTCGCGTGCAGCGGCAGAGAGCAACAGAGACCCGCAGAGAGCAGCATTTGCCTGCAGTCACCCGCAGGGACTGACAGAGAGCAACTGATAGCGGCAAAGGCCAGCAGAGACCAGCAAGAGCCAGCAGAGAGCGGCAGGCAGCAGCAGAGAAAAGCAGAGAGCGGCAGCGAGCAGCCGAGAGCAGCAACGAGCACCAGAAAGCAGCAGAGGGCAGCCAGACCAGCAGAGAGCAGCAGCGACCAGGAGAGCACGCTGTGGAACAGCAGGGAACAGTAGAGAACGGCTGAGAGCAGCACAGACCAGCAGAGACCAGCAACCATCAGCAGACAACACCAGAGAGCAGCAGAGACCCGCAGAGACCAGCAGAGAACAGCACGGGCCAAGCTGCAGAGAGCGGCAGAGGGCAGCAGAGAACAGCAGAGAGCAGCAGGGCACATCAGAGAGCGGCGGAGAACAGAGAACGGCAGAGAGCAGCACAGACCACACGAGAGCAGCATAGAGCAGCAGAAGACGACGGAGAGCAGCAGAGAGCAGCAGACAGCAGCAGACAACAGCAGAGAGCAGCAGAGACAAGCAGAGACCAGCAGGTATCAGCAGACAGCAGCAGTGAGCAGACGAGAGTAGCAGAGACCAGTAGAGAGTAGCGTCTTGCAGCTGAGAGCAGCAAGGACACGCAGACACCAGCAACTGCCTGCAGTCACCAGCAAGGACTAGCAGAGAGCAGCAGCGAGCAGCAGACATCAGCACAGGCCAGCACAGAGCAGCAGACAGCAGCAGACAACATCAGAGAAGAACAGAGAGCAGCAGAGACCAGCAGAGGACAGCAAGGACCAGGCAGCAGCAGAGAGGGGCGGAGACGAGTAGAGAGCAGCAGAGAACAACTGAGAGGGGCAAAGGCCAGCAGAGAGCAGCAGACAGCAACAGAGAGCAGACGAGAGTAGCATAAACCAGTCGAGGGCAGGGTCCAGCCGCAGAGAGCAGCAAAGACACGCACGGAGCAGCAACTACCTGCAATCACCAGCTCGGCAGCAGCGCTTCCAGAGAGCACCAGAGGCCAGCAGAGAGCGGCCAAGACCAGCAGGGACAAGCAAAGCCCAGCGGACAGCAGCAGAGAGTAGCAGAGACCTGCAGACAGCAACCGGCAGCAGCAGAGGGCTACGAACTCCAGGGCTTAGGCGGAGCAGTTCGCGGCAGAGTGGGCTTCGTGCTGCCTCCCGCCTGGGCGTTGCTGCGGGGTTGTCCCGACGGCTTGCTCTTGCGCCCCAGCGGCCCACGGGGTTGTCCCAACGGCCTGGACCGCGGGGTTGCCCCTACGGCTTCGCGATCCGGCCATCGGGGAATGCGCGCATGTTGGCGGCGAAGGCGCCGAGGAACATCGACTTGCCCCGGCCAGGAGCCAGGGGAAGTGTATGAGGAGAATCGGCGGAATGGGGATGAGGAGAGGGGGAAGGAGGAGAAGGTAGAGGTGGAAGAGGAGGAAAAATTGGAGGAGGAGAAGGGGGAGGAGGAGGAGGATAAGAGGACGAGAGGAGGAGGATGAGGAGGAGGATAGGAAGGAAGGAGGAGGAGGAGGAGGAGGAGGAGGAGGAGGAGGAGGAGGAGAGGAGGGGGAGGAGGAGGAGGAGGAGGAGGAGGAGGAGGAGGAGGAGGGAGGAGGGGAGGAGGAGGAGGAGGAGGGGGAGGAGGAGGAGGGAGGCGGAGGAGGAGGAGGAGGAGGAGGAGGAGGGAGGAGGGAGGAGGGAGGAGGGAGGAGGGAGGAGGGAGGAGGGAGGAGGGAGGAGGAGGAGGGAGGAGGAGGAGGAGGAGGAGGAAGAGGAGGAGGAGGAGGAGGAGGAGGAGGAGGAGAGAAGGATGAGGAGGAGGAGGAGGAGGAGGAGGAGGAGGAGGAGGAGGAGGAGGAGAAGGAGGAGAGGAGGAGAAGGAGGTGGAGGAGGAGGAGGAGGAGGAGGAGGAGGAGGAAAAGGAGGAGGCGGAGGAGGAAAACGAGGAGGAACATGAGGAGGCGCAACTGAATGCGGGAGGAAGGTTTCCGGCACGGCGAGAACAAAGGCCAAGGGCAAGCTAAGCGGGTCGACGTGAAAAGGTCCGACCGTCGGACAAATCATTGCCGCCTTTTCGATTTTCTTTGGCTTCCGACGCTGCAAGGTTGATTTTATCGCTGTCGCCCTTTAAGGCTTCCGGCGCCTTGAGGCGGCCCGCGACGCCCTCACCCCCCCCCCAATACGGCCAACTGGGCACCCAGGAAAGCCTCAAGACGGCCCAAGACAGCTCCGAGAAGAAGCAAGAGGCGTCCCAGACGTTCCACGTTCTTTCCAGGCGGCTTGGAACATCGCAACGAGATGACGTCAAGACGCCCCTGGGCCCCCCCATGTGGACGGCCAGAGTCGTGTAATGGCCCACAGTGCCAGCACAAACTCCGACAGGAACCGCGCTCGCAGTCGTTGCGTCGCCACCCACTGCGCAGCGCGACCCACTGTTCGACAGTGGCGGTGCCAGCGAAGGTCAGCCATGGGACCCCCGTCAAGGAGGTGGACGCAGGCGCGAGCAGCGGCGGAGCTCCACGCGATCCTTCGGGACAGGATCCCCGCCCGCACGTTGGCGCGTGGCCCATCTTCAGCCGCGCGTGCAGAGCAGCGGCTCGCGTGGGAATAGGTGGGGTCTGCTGGCCGCCTTGTCCGATGGCGAGATTCACGGCAACAGCGTCGACGCCTTCTTCTTCATCATCGGCGCTCCAGAATGGGTAAATAAGATGTTCGGAGCGGGGCTGCCGGTGATCTCCCGGCCGCGTGGCAGCGACTGGCCCGTTGAACACCTCGCTGACACCGACGAACTGGAGGTGATCGAGTCGAGGTAGCTCACGCTCACGATGCATCGAGACATGCCCCAGTGCGTTGTGACGTCGACT